TCATTAACTTTGATGATCGTATTCGACTTCATTCATTGACTCGGGATGTCGGTGGTTGCAGTGCTAAGTTCTCTTTTGAACTTGGTCTCCCCCATTGATGAACGTCCGCTGTCGCTATTCCAAGGCAGCGTGAGTGAGTGGAGTGATATGAGAAGTTAGTGATTCTTCCTCTTCACACTGTTATTTTTTTTTACTTTTAGCTCGTTTCTTCAATACCACAATCTACGTCAGTATCACTTCTGTTATAAAATCCATATATCTGTGACGTAGTTTTAACTACACTATCGTCAATAATTTTCAAAACCATAAGATCCTGTATACCGGCACTTACTAGTCATGAGAGCAGGACTTGTCATTTGGGACATCCCACTTCTAAAGTACGAATGAATTGATTGGCTCACCGACACTTTTCAAAATGTATGGAGTCAATGACGCAGGGAGGTGTTTGCCATCGTGCGTAGGCAATTTGGGAGGTATAAAAAAGAGCAATGATGCTCTGAGCAGTGCGTATGCATGTTCAAAAAGGGTGTTTGATCAGGCCAGCGCTCTAAACAAGTATTGTTGGTTAGTGAGGTGGGTGGTGCTTTTGCTTGTGGAGAGACCACACCACCGAGGCAGGGAGATAAGGCAATACAATATCACTTTTTGAAGTACCACTCATTTTGGTCGCAACCAGACACCTTCAAACCGCAACCCTATATGCAATTGTGGTTGCCTTTATGGCTAGTAAATGTCGGTACAGTATAAGACCGAACTTTTACAGGATCATTTCTTTAGTACCTTCTTTTCTATTTGAATTTTTACCCTACCCGGAGCCATTGATGTAGACGTCGAGCTCGTCTCCGTCCAATAACTCAAGCTCGGTGAGTGAAATGGATGGAGACGAGTTCTGCGACGCGCTAGAATGTGCTCTGTCCCCCGTCGTACAGGTTGGTATTATGCGCCATCGCCTTAACGATGTCGGCGACGACTGCAACGAGATCGAGTTTATCGACAGAAAGAGGAAGTACCTCCTCCTGTGCCCAGGCCATCCATGACTAGAGTCTCCCCAGCCTCGGTTCTAACCGTGTATGTTCACAACGCGCAGCACTTTGAGTTCACGTTGTATACGTACTCAGCGACAGATTTTGCATCGTTATCGCGACACCGCAGCTTACGTCACCACCGCCCCGCCTTTTGGGTCGGTTCTCGACCGCATGCGCGTGCGGGAAACCGTTCGATACATGACTGGAGGCTGCCCACCCCTCCCAGACGCCCATCACAGCTAGTTTACCAATGCCGGGTGCACGGTGTTAGAAGCATCGAGTTCTGCCGTCGGTTCGTCCGCGACAAACGTTACGGTTTCCACGCCCATTTGACGACAATATGACCACCCAAGTCACCCCTGTCCGTTCAGCGCGCTCGTATCTACATCTTTGTCAGCAGGCCAAGGAGGCCTAAACAGGTGGTACCACCGAACCAACGACGTTCGCCGCAATTGGGGTGCACCTTTCCGAGCAGTAGGGTTACAATTCATGTTGCGGCTACAGTACCAGCACGACTCAGTGTTACTCCGTCTCGCTGTGATCCTATACTCAGCGCATTGCGGCACTGTTGGCCACGATGGCCCCATCGGAGCATCCAACGTTCTGTCCGGGCTCGCATACGGACGACTGCAGTGTCGAAGATCCTTGACGGCCTCCGACAAGCCGTGTTTTATTTTTTACTGAGGTGGACCCCCTTCTCACTCGGGATCGCCGAACATCACGCCAAAATGTCGAGCCGAGCGAGTTTGGGGTCGACCCCGACGCCACGGCCATTGTCAATGATATTAAAATGCCCGATACTAACAAATTTTGAGCTATCAGCTCCACTGAGGCCACCGCTGGTGAGTGGCTGTCCTCTTTTGATGATGCCTGTCGCGGTAATCTTAAATGGGGGGAGGGTTGTACTCTTTTCTCCTTTGGAGGTTGCATTTTGGACATACTCAACAACTTGCCATTTAAAACGGAGACCAGCAATTCTGCTAAATGTACCGCCTTTCTGCTTGGAGTCCGAGCAACAGCAGATCGCGGCGTTTGGCGGCTGTGAATTAAGAAAGATAGTACTGTGATTATAGAGTAGGTGCCAGGTAAGTACAGAGAAAGGGACGAGCGGATGGCTGCGCTTCTCAAGCTGGTCAAGGCAGACCTGCGTTGACTCAACGTCTACTCATTGCATCACATCGATCGAGAGGAGAATGCCCATGGAGACAGCCTGGCGAATCGTGCGTTGGACAAGCACAGCGCCGAAACACTATGTACTGAGCACGAGACTGGCAAGGAATACACCTCCTCATTGCCCATTCCTTATACTCACAGCGTGGGCGGTAAAGTGACGCTGCTTAAGGCATGAGCTCCAGCGAGTGCTTGAGACGTTATCATGGCAGCTGCGGATGATGACATCTCACGTGGCCTCCCTGCCGATATTGGCGATGGTGATCTATATCTGCCGATGAGTCTCGGCGCCAATCTTATCCCCCACCGTCTCGCACGTCTACAGCTTCGCGAACTAACTAGTGCTAAAGAGGATGCTGCCAGTGCTGTGATGGAGAAATTAGGAGCGATCCTCGTCGCCAAGATCACGGATGTTGTCGACTCGGACGCAGCTGAAAGCTAAATTTCTGCATTATCGCATTAAACTACAAGTAAATTCAGCTGTACATGACCTCGAAGACGCAGTCGCAGCAACACCCCCGCCGGACTCAAATTGACCAACAGCAGTGCGTGCCTGGAGCCCGTCCGACACCTCCGCAAACTGCTGGATCTCGTTCTGGTCGATGGCTGCGCAGTCACCCTCACTCTGTCTTGCAATTCAACAGGGCCCGTCGCCTCGACGAAAGGTTGGATGATCTCCATGTCACCGAGAACGATAGTTCCAGTTCTCCCAGAGA